AGTACTTTAATAAAAATCTCTGACTATTCCCTGATTTCCCTGACCTCTGGCAATCCTGTAATAGAAATAATTTATTGTTTAAATTATATTTTTTTAAAAATCGATTCTTTAAATAAAAACATTTCAAATGAATAAATAAAATAAAAATGATATAAAAAAATAGTAAATAAATATAATTTAAACAATAAATTATTTCTATTATTAAATAATTCATTAATAAAAATTGCTATTCTTTTTTCAAATTTTAATATTCTTAACGTATTTACAAATTTTATTGTGCAAAAATTTATCAATAAATCAGCAAATGTTATCCGTACAGCACAAGATATTCTACGGATATCCAAATAACGTCCCAGTTAGATCCATAGATATCTGGGATATCTTAGGGATATCTTATGGTCATTCCAACAAATATCTTAAGAGAAGGAACTTTTGATATCCTGAGCATGTCTAGGGGATATTTATGGATATTTGTAGGACGTCCTGTGGATATCTGTGGGACGTCGTACTTATGTCCCAGTAATATCTCTGGGATATCTTTAGATATACTTTAAATTTCAATAAACAAACCTCGAAAAGTTGTCAAAACAGCTTGTCAACAAATTTATGTCACGAGATTAATATATCAGTGTTCTTGAACATTTGTTGTTGTTGTTTGTGTAGGCAAGTAAATTGTATTAATAAAATTATTATACACACAGGATATTAATTTCTACTTGTATTAAATAAAGAAGATTTTGATGAGACCTTATAATCTTAAAGAAAATATTTTGTGTTTAACTATACAGTTTGCTCTCTTGTTGAAAAATAGTGACTTGTCTCGTGACTTGTAAATGTCTCATAAAAAGATTTATGTAAATTAATTTTAAATGTATTATATTAAATTGACTTAATTTTATCAATAGATACAATGAAATATTTTCCGTAACATTTTATTTAGATGTTTGACGCGACATCTAACCTCTACGTATAAATATTTTCAGAATTACCGAAAGTATACTCTAAAATATTTATTGTAGAACATACTTGTTTAATTGCAAATAAACATTTTTGAAATTATTAAAATATATTATATTGTTTTATTTGTGATTAGAATCTAATTTTGATATATTTCAAGACTTTTCAGTATATGTTTATAGAGCAAATATCCTACAAATATCTACCATGGATATTTTAGGGATATCTTAGATGAAGGGACTTTTAATATCCCAGGGACATCCCAGGGATGTATAAGATATTCTCTGCATACCTGTGGGATATCCATAATTTTTTCGATATGTCCCAGAGATATCCCAGGGATATCTATTTGCTATACGGGTATGTACGGAATGATTTACTATTATTATGCAAATAACAAAATAAAAATGTTCATAAATTTCAATTACTTTCAAATCTTCGATTAAAGTTATTAAAGAAACTCCATTATTTGAAAAAAAAATTAAAATGAATTTAATTAGGATTTTCAAAGATTTTAATAAAATTCTTCTCAGAAATTCAATTAGTTTCATAATTAATTAATAACATTTCACAAAAGAATTAAATTATTATAAAAAATTTTGATAAAACTCTTTATAAAAATTTAAATAATTTAAATATTATTCTAATTAAGTTTTGCGTAAGAATAAACTTTTTAAAAAGATTTTATTTTAATTTTTCGCAAAAAATTTAATTATTTTGAAAATTTTGGATTTATTTTTTTGTAAAAATTTAATTATTGCAGGTTAAAAATGATAAAATTAAGTAAGAAATAACGCATAAGGAATATTTTTAATTGACAAAAATTTTGTTTAATTGCTTTTCTAATATTGAAAGCATTTTATTATACATTAGAATTTTCATTAATTTTAAATATTAAAATATTAAAAAGAATAATTAATTATAAAAAAAATAGAGAACAAAATGCAAACAGAAACAACCAACTTCAAATTGCGAATAGATGTGAAGTCAAATTAAGTAAGGAAAAAAATAAAGTTTAGTTTAATGCTTATCTATTAACTTTGTAATTTATTTATTCTTATTTTTTGAAGATTTAATTAATAAATAATATTAGAAATTAAATTATTTATTGTAATGAGAAAATTCAAATATCTTTGTGAATCCTTTTTTAAATTATCCCGCCATTAGTGACGCCAACCAATGAGATCACTTGAAGCTTAAAAGGACCCGAAATATTCTTCCCTACACATGGTTGATTAGGTTAGTTGGTTAGGTTGTTTCTTTCTGCGTTGCGAACCCGGGTTCTATCCCCAGTCCCTCCAAATTTATTTTCAAAATTATTCTTCAATAATATTGATATTGACGAATAAATAAGTAATCAGTTCGCGGCATAAAATAAATAATAGAGAGAAATATTTTTTATTTTATTTTTATTAAATTTATAAATACTATTTTTTTAGTTATAAATAAACTGAAATATTAAATAAGTTTAAGTGCAAATTAAATAGATAATTACGGAAATTCCGTAAAGGATTATTTGTATAATATCAATTTATATTATATTACTTACCTTATGACGCTTACTAGAAACTAACTTCTAATGCTTACAGATACTTACCAGAGATAGTTTTAAAGAACTTTTCTCTACTTGTTTTCAGAAAAGTTTCTTAGATAACTTTCTGCAAGCTAACACGGAAAACTAAAAAGCGTAGGACATTTATAGGCCAAGGGAAGCTAACCATGTTAGCTATAGAAGCTAACATGGTTTGTTTCCCGTTAGCTTTTCGCAAAATATGGTGCTATGTGGGTTAGTATGACGAAATTACTCTGCCCCTTCAATGTCATTATAAGCGGATTCTACTGTACATTCTTTTGTCTATCTTACCTGTAAATTTTATTAAAATCGATTAAAAAGTTTCAGAGATAATAAATTTTGAAAAAAACACAACACTCATTTTCAACCTAACGTAGCGGCCGCCATTTTGAAAATTTTTCAAAATAGTTTTAGGATTAAATGTATCTCATATAAGACTTTTATTTCCCAAGGTTTCAAATAAATCGGAAGACCACTTGCAAATCGCTTTTGTTCTGACGGAGTCTTACCCTAAAGATATTGAACAATTTTTATTATTGAAATTGAAATCTACGATGTTTGATGAACATTTTTAGCACTTGAAGTGTTTGTATATTAGTGCGAAAAAAGTTTTCGAGTTATTTCATTTTTCTTCTTGTAAATATTTAATAAAACGTTTATTTTGAAAATGATTATCATTCGTTAATTTATTTTGAAAAATAATATAATATTTATTTATCTGTAAACATATTTTTATCATACTATTTTATTCGACGCTGTTAAGTATCGAACCTCACAAAGTAAAGTTTATTACTGTTTTTTTTTTATTTTTGTAAATTGTTATAATCTCTTTCCCAGACGTCAAAACACGTTTCAAATAGACTTTACAAGTTGCAGATGACACTTATTTGCAAATTGCTATTTTCTAAGAACATGCCCTTATAACGAAAGATCTTAAAGGATAAGTAGTTCGACAAATCGCTTTATTACTCTCAGGTATATTACCTGACCTGAGCTTATCAAATTTCCTATCATAAACCTTACCCACCTATTGTTACCCTTGCCCACGCCTACATCTTTTAACTGAAAAACATTACCTCCTCCAAAATTGTAATTGACCACCCCCATAACCCTCCTTCCAAACCCTCGGCTCATACAACTCTTCTTTGCGTAGAAGACTTACTTTGCTTTCGAAACATAACTATCTATACAAAAAATGTCCTTCATCACACAAAACTTTAGTTTTGTGACTTCATACGAATTATGTAAACGGTTTTTTATTAAAGGTGTTTAACAAAATTTCGGTTTCAAATTTAATTATGAAAAACATCCTGAATAACCCTTTGCATTATTTTCTTAAAAAGTTGTTTTCAGACCGTACGTTAAAATAAACGTTTGCGGAATTAACAGACGCCACCTCCAAATCACATGTGCTTTTTACATAGGATCCCATGTGGATTCTTACGTGGATTATGTGAGTCTTAAAGGGTTTTTGTATAAGAACCCACGTAGGATCCATTGTGGTCATTTTCAGTAGGGTAGGGGAATGTAAGGTATCGTGGCGTGTAAGGTATGGTGGCGGACTAGTCAAATCTGGCATGCAACGTCACATTTGAAGCGCCTAATCACTATGGTCGATGTCTTTTATCGTAATGACATTTTATATGCAGTAGTATTAATGATCAAACGAGTGCTTTGTACTTTAAGTGATTTTGAATAAAAAAGTAGTGAAAAATAGAAAAAAAGTTTTATTGGATATGTGTGTTAACAGTGCCAGAGTGAAGATTTTTTGAAAATTGAGTCTGGTAAATGTATGGAACGTATTGTTTAGACCTTGGACAACAGTTTTTTGTATTTTACATTTTTCTCAATTCGCGCTGTATGAAAGTAACACCATCATATTTTTATCAATAGCTTGTAAGGTATGATGGCGCAATTTTTGTAACGTACAGTGGCGGATCATTTTTTGCACGAGTTTCAATTGTCTTAGCATTTTTTGTGTACTAATGCCTCATGTGTTCCAACGCAACAATTCTCGAATATGTGACACTTGCGGTTTTCTCTTATTCTAGTTGCGTTAAAACAGCCACCAGCTACTTCACATATCCAAATTGTAACCATAACTGAAGTGAAACTTTTTTTTCTATAATGTAAAATCATCATTTTTTTCTCTTTTTGTTATTTTTCATCATTTCTAGCAGTTTTAATAAATAATTTTAACATCTACATAATATTTTAATTAAATACACCAAATGCGCCACCATACCTTACAACTTTCAAAAATAAAAAAATCAGTTTTTTGTGCCAAAAGCTATAAAATTTCACTGAATTTAAATTTTAACAGCCGCTTCTGACAGAAATATGCTTAATAGATGTCAGCAACTGCCTGCTTTTGAAATTTTGAAAAATATTGTTTTTTGAGAGAGAGAGACGCAAAAAATAAAGTGTCCGCCACCATACCTTACACTCCCCTAGTAATTATTATTTATACCTCTGAACTGTGATTTCCTGTATTCTCTCATAAAGCTCCCGTGTTGGACGTTCATCAAGCCTTTTGTACGTTGATATAGAGGCATTAGAAGGTGGAGGTGGAGTTTCCGATGACAAAAAAGTTCGTCCAGGTCCAATTCCTCTACCTCTATCCCCACTACAAGCTGAGCCTATTCCTCTCGCATCGCTAGAAAAAAGGTGTCACAGATATATTTCTTTGAAAACAAACAGGATACTATGTTATCTGAATATCCTAAATAACATTCGTATAATTTTTCTTGAAGTAAACCACAACTATCAAAAACAAAACACTCAGACGTTACCTACCAGGATTATTTCACCAAAAAAGGAAACAATAGAATTTCTTGGGATTTGTTTTCCTAAAATGTTTTACAAGTTGGCAGCCACAGTGGTTCAAAATTACAATTCAGTGTTCATAACTACAATTTTAAATGAAATTTGACTTTTCTTTTTTTTAAACCTTCAACGTTAAATTTGTCAGATCCCTATTGAGCTATAATAATAAGTTTGAACAAAAGTTAGGATAGAAAAATAAATGCCCAGTAGCACGTAATGTTGGGAACATTCCAGCAACATTGAGGCAATATTGGTAATGTTAAGGCAGTGTTCTCAATATTATTGCTGTAATATTACGTGCTACTGGGGTGTTAATAACACAGGACCACAAAAAAAATTCGTTGAAAGGTTCCTTTGACCAAACCTGGTGTATTATATGTTTTTGGGGTCGCTGAAAACGAATTTGAAGTCCGTTTTGCTCTATCACGTCAGGATTTTTCCTAACCTCAAAATACATATCAGATTTTACGTGACAGATAAAATTCTATAAATATTGACGGATTTACTTCAATCTCGGTATTAAAACTTTATTGGGGTTGATGATTACGAACTTAAAGGCAGATTATCAAAATACAAAATGGCGGGTCAAATATGGCGGTCGGTTATTTAAAAAATTCTTGAATTTTTTTAAAACTTGGTATCAAGGGGTTTTTGGGGTCGCTGATTACGAATTTAAAGTCAGATTTTTGAAATAAAAATGAAGGATCTAATATGGCGGTCGGATTTATAAAAATTTCTTGAATTTTTACAGAACTTGGTATCTAGGTGTTTTTAAGGTCACTGACCATGAATCTGTCAGAGTCCAAAAACTCACAGATACTAAGTTCTGTAAAAATTCAAGAAATTTTCATAAATCCGACTGCTATTTTAAATCCTTCATTTTTATTTCGAAAATCTGACTTTATATTCGTAATTAGCGACCCCAAAAACCCCTTGATACCAAGTTTTGTAATAATACATGAACTTTTTAAAAAATCGACCGCCATATTTGACCCGCCATTTTGTATTTTGATAATCTGCCTTTAAGTTCGTAATCATCAACCCCAATAAAGTTTTAATACCGAGATTGAAGTAAATCCGTCAATATTTATAGAATTTTATTTGTCACGTAAAATCTGATATGTATTTTGAGGTTATAGGAAAAATCCTGACGTGACGGAGCAAAACGGACTTCAGATTCGTTTTCAGCGACCCCAAAAACATATAATACACCAGGTTTGGTCGAAGGAATGTTTTAACGAATTTTTTTTGTGGACCTGTATAATAATTATTATTATAAATAAATTAAATTAATTAAGAAATTTTTAACCCATAAAGTCCCATATACAGTCAACTCTACGAATAGTGCCGCTATCAATAGTGCCACTTCTCCTCTTTCTCGCTCGAGCTCTATCCCAACTTTAGCGACTCAGCACGGCTTCTGAATTTCGAGTTTCCCCTAAGAGAGAAATATACAAACAGTGGGGGTACTACAGTTCCAAGAAAAGTCGTAAACGCTGTGCAATTTTGCGGCACTATTCATAGAGTTGACTGTAGATACCAGCCATTGTATTAAAAAAGTAACAATTGGATTCATAGGCAAATTGAAAAAAGATATATGTACTTGTTTTTTGTCTTTAATTTCCAATTGTTTAAATAAATTAATAAAAATTAAAAATTTTTTTAAAACAGTTAACAATAATTCATTCTATATGAAAAATTAAGAAAGTTTTGTATGGGTCATGTTTTTTCCAAATCGTATTTTGTTTATAAAATTGTTATAAACAAATTATATTGGATGAAGTTAAAGGGCGTTTTATCCCAAGTATAAATAAATGAATGTTAAGTAAAATTAACAATTGGATTCATAGACAAATGGGAAAAATAGATATACATGTTTTTTTGGTTGCAATTTTTAAGAACAATTTTATTCGTTAAAGGTATTAATAAAAATTTAGCAATATTGTTAATGCCAATCGATTCTGTGTGGAAAATTTTGTTCTCCAATTTGTTTATTACAATTTTATAAACAAAATACGATTTGGAGAAAAATATTACCCATACAAAACTTTCTTAATTTTCCACACACGATCAATTGGCATTAACAATTTTTTTAAAATGATACATTTTTATTAATTTAAAAAGAAAACAAAAGAACAGGTATATCTTTTGTTCCAATTTGCCTATGAATCCAATTGTTAATTTTACTTAAAATCCATTTATTTATACTTGGGATGAAACGCCCTTTATCCATTATTTGTTTATAACAATTTTATAAACAAAATGAGTTTAGGAAAAAGTTGTGAAAGAATGAAAGTTTTAGTTTTCTTTCGACTTTTAAAAAATGTAAACAAAAAATTTTGTTTAAAACTTTTTATTAAAAAAAATTTTTTTTTTTTATAAACAAATTAATTTTTTTTAACTTTGGGCCGGATTTTTTTTGATTTTTTTAAATTTATTTATACCTTATAGTATAGAGAAGATTTTCCAAACAGTTTTAAAACATTTTCAAAAATCACTTGCAAGCATCACAGTAGGATTTTTTTATAATTAACTTTTTAAAACTGTCTACAGCGTAGACCCTTTAATTTAAAACAAAGAACACTCAAATAGATTAAAAATTATATCCCACATTCTTGCAAGTGATTTTTGAAAATGTTTTAAAACTCATTTAACACATCAGGCCCATTTCGGACCTTTTTGAAAAATCTTCCTCTATATTATAAGGTATAAATAAATTTAAAAAAAAATAAAAAAAATCCAGCCCAAAGTTAAAAGAAAATAATTTGTTTATAAAAAAAATTTTTTTTTAAATAAAAAATAAAAAAATCTTTTTTGTTTATTTCTTAAAAGTCGAAAATAAAAAAAATACGTATCTGTTTTTTTCGATACAGAATAGAAAAAAAATATTTTTGGCCGATTTTAAGAGGTCGACTTAAATATCACGTGGAATTGCCCATATACATTTTTAACTTAATTGTTTAAATAAAAAATATTGCAAAATGAAATTCAAAATTCCGGCTTAATAGGGATCCGAGGAATTTATCGCTGAAGATTTAAAAAAAAGAAAAGTTAAATTTCATGGAAAATTGGAGGCTGTAGGTGATTTTGAACACTGAATTGTAATTTTGAACAACTGTGACATGGTTTCCTTAATGGAAGCGGGCTTTTATATGGTTTTTAACATAGGATCCCATATGGTTTCCCATGTGGGGATTTTCAATAGGGTAAAGTCGAGTAAGAAAAGGACCTTATTCGGCAGACGCAAAAAGAATTGAACAGCTACACTCAATACTTTTTTTTACTATGAATGTAAAGATCAATAATTTGACTAAGTGTGAGATTGATTAAATGAAAATTAACTACACGGAGAAAAAAGAATAATCAAATTTACTATAAGAAGTGTCAAACTTGAAAAAGTTGATACTCTTTTCTTTGCTCCTCTTAAGCTCTACAACTTTTAATAACAACTTTGTTGTCCAAAATTTTACGGTAAACAGCAATCCTCAAAAAACCTCAGAAATTTGTGTAGACGTAAGCATGGTGTAATTTTTTTCAAGTTGAGTAAGGGAGGGTATATATCATACATCCACAGAAAAATCTTGTTGAAATAATTATGAAATATCTTGTAAACAATAAAAATTATAAAATATTTTTTTGTACTTACTGAAGGGAATCTCTGTGTCGCCTAGATTTTTTATCTCGAATATAATAAGCAACTACTAGAACACAAATGGCAGCTACAAAGGCACAAGCACATCCAATTGCAGCATAGAAGATTTGACCACCTGCAGTCTTTCCAGGGACTGAGACTAAAACTTCTTGTGATTGATTTTCCGAAATTGTTTTGTTCCTCAAGCAAATTTTTCTTCTCTTCAATTCGAGTGTAGTTGCATTTTTTTTTGATAAAGAGACATTTAAGCGAATAGTTACATCAGTTTCTGCATCATAAGGAGCACAATGAAATGTCATGGTCCATATTTGCTGCAGGCCTACTGGAATTTCTCCTGAATTTGTTATATTTAAAGTGTCACTTAGAACTGAAGGATCGCCAACAAGCACTTCTATTTCATAAGACAACTAAAGACAAAAGATTTAACATAAATTAGTATTAAAATCAAAATGTAAATTTTGATTTAAATTAACTTTAAAATTAATGTTATTCTTATTAACCCATTAACGCCCACCAGGACGCAAAATGTACCATGATTTCACGACTCTTATTTTGTATGAAATAATTAGTTAAAAATTTTAGAAAATACCATTTCCGACGTAAAATTTATCGCTCTTTCTGAATAAGAAGCTAAAATTTGTTTATAATTATCTCAAAAAAATTTATAACAATTTTATTGCAAAAAAACACACTTTTTTATAAAAAAAAAATTTTTCAATTATTCTTTTGACATGGAAAACTAAAGAATATGGTCTCCAAAGCACAAAATATCGCGTCCTCGAACTCTCAGCTATAAAAATCCCTAATTACTTTTTATTAAATTCAAGATGGCGGATATGAAAATGGCCATTTTTCCAAAATACAAAAGGCCGAAAAAAATTTTCGGGTAATGTTTTTCAAAAGTTAATAGATTTGATTGAAAATGGTTAATCGGGGGTTTTTGGGGTCGCTGATTACGAATCTGATTTTACTTTTTTTAAATTCAAAATGGCGGATCCAATATGGCGGACATATTTTTTAAAAAGTGATTGGATTTGCTTGAAAATAGTGACTCGGGGGTTTTCAGGGTCGCTGATTACGAATCTGATATCACTTTTTCAACATTTAAAATGGCGGATCCAATATGGCGGACAATTTTTAAAAAAGTAATTGTATTTGCTTGAAAATGGTCATTCCGGGGTTTTTGAGGATGCTGATTACGAATTTAACATCAGAACAATATTAGGTTTATCGTTGCTCTTACCACAAGGAGGTTGACGTGCAAAAAAGCTTCTTTTTTTAATTCTATTGAAAAATTTTTTTTATTTTGCCTCAAAAAATATAACCACTATTATGCAAAGTGCAACAAAAGGACACAAAAATTGTGCATTCAATGTGGCATATATATGTGCGTCACTTGTTTTCAATCAAACCACGTGTTGTGTTAGTATCTTTTTACCATTGTATAAAAAAATGTCATAATTATATAAGTGTCATAATTATCGTTGATTCAGATTTAGAAAGCAGAATTAAAATTTTATATTATTTATTTTAAAAAATATTAAAATATACAAAAAAAATTTTTAAATAAAAAAAAACAAACAAAATTTTAAAAATAAAATAAAAAAGTAGCTTTTTTGCACGTCGACCTCCTTGTCGTAAGAGCTGGGCAACGTCATTAAAATTTTGTTGACGGCTTACCGACGTGGAGGATAAGCATAATATTGTTCTGAAGTCAGATTCGTAAATAATATCCTCAAAAACCGCCAAATGACCATTTTAAAGCAAATGCAATTACTTTTTAAAAAATTGTCAGCCATATTGGATCCACCATTTTTAGTTTTGAAGAAGTGACATCAGATTCATAATCAGAATCCCCAAAAACCCTCGAGTAACTATTTTCAAGCGAATCCAATTACTTTTTAAAAAATATGTCTGCCATATTGGATCCGCCATTTTTAATTTTGAAAAAGTGATATCAGATTCGTAATCAGCAACCCCAAAAACCCCCAAGTAACTATTTTCAAGCAAATCCAATTACTTTTTAAAAAATATGTCTGCCATATTGGATCCGCCATTTTGAATTTAAAAAGAAACATCAGATTCGTAATCAGCGTCCCCAAAAACTTCCGAGTAACCATTTTCAAGCAAATTTAATCACTTTTTAAAAAATTGTCCGCCATATTGGATCCGCCATTTGGAATTTTAAAAAAGTGATATCAGATTTGTAATCAGCGTTCCCAAAAACCCCCGAGTAACTATTTTCAAGCAAATCCAATCACTTTTTAAAAAATATGTCCGCCATATTGGATCCGCCATTTTGAATTTTAAAAAAGTAACATCAGATTCGTAATCAGCGACCCCAAAAACCCCCAAGTAACCATTTTCAATTAAATCTAATAACTTTTGAAAAACATTACCCGAAATTTTTTTTCAGCCTTTTGCATTTTGGAAAAATGGCCATTTTCATATCCGCCATCTTGAATTTAATTTTTATAGCTGAGAGTTCGAGGACTTGATATTTTGTGCTTTCGAGACCATATTCTTTAGTTTTCCATGTCAAAATAATAATTGAGAAATTTTTTTTTTATAAAAAAGTGTGTTTTTTTGTAATAAAATTGTTATAATTTTTTTTGAGATAATTATAAACAAATTTTAGCTTCATATTCAGAAAGAGCGATAAATTTTACGTCGGAAATGGTATTTCCTAAAATTTTTAACTAATTATTTCATACAAAATAAGAGTCGTGAAATCATGGTACATTTTGCGTCCTGGTGGGCGTTAATGGGTTAATGATTAAAATAAAAAAACAAATCTCACCAGAGAAATTCTGAAATATTATTCGACATTTTGATTAAATTTTTTTTACAATAAATTAATGTTATTGTGATTAAAACAATAATATCAATAAGCACTAGTTCATTCAAATTGTGAGAAATTGAAAGAAAGAAAAGAAAAAGAAAGACCGCCGTATTAATAGGAAATTTGTTTAGAATTAGCATGTAGTCTCTCACTCTTTTCTGTCTATATTGTTTCTGTATTGAATGATTGTGTGTATGAAATAAGAAATCGTCAACAAGGTAAATTAGTCTTTGCTCTCAACTTGTAATAGCCAGTGTGTGTCAGTTGACGAAAATGGAAAAAGTGTGTAAATTCGATGAAGCAGTGCAAGTGCATCTAAAAACATTGGATCCTGACAATGTTTTTACTGCAGAAAAATACAATTTTATTTTATCTGATGTTAGGGAAGCTAAAGACTTGAGAAAAAATAAAAAACCTTTGACGACAAAGCAATACCGCCGGTTGAGGCGTTTCGACATTTTAAGTATTAGCGATACCGACAAATTAATAGAAAATACCAAAATACAGGATGGAAGACGGAAATCGCGAAATTCGTTACTTTTGTAAAGTGGAGGAATATTTCAACATTTTGCAAATAATGTGCAGTGCAACTCTAAATGTCACTCCAACACCGCGTGTAAAAATAAATAAGTGTTAAAAAAGTTTTTTTAATTAACTTTTATGTGCAAAATATCAATGGATTTTTGTTAGAGAAATTTCATCTTATTGTGAATAATATTAATCAATGACACATTTTTTAATAAATATATTCCTATTGTATAACGAAGTGGTCTTTCTCACAATTTGAAATGCCTCACCTAGTTTTGTCAAATGTCAAATTGACAAAACTAGTTTTGGCAAAAGTCAAATTGACAAAACCAGTTTCGGCAAAAGTCAAATTGCCAAACCTAGTTTTGGCAATTTAAAACGGCCAATGGCCGGAGTGAAACGTCCAAACCTAGTTTTGGCAAAAGTGGACTTGCCAAATCTAGGTTTGGCTGATTTTCCGGCCATTGGCCGTTTTCGGCTTTTGAGCCTAACATATACATTGTAAAAAATTTAGGGATTTTTCCCTGAGGATTCTTGTAGAATATTCTACAAATTGATCTCTACTACTTTAGGGGAGAGTGGGGCAAGACGGGGTACCGGTCCTATTTATTTATTTGTTTATACACTCGTCTTAAGCCTACAATCTTGGCTATACAAGTGTTTTACATTTTCATAAATTTTTCTTACAAATTTTTCCGTGACAAACTTAATACTAAATTTTGCGCCTACAGAACGACTTAAAAATTAGGACCACCCGTCTAATGGTCCGAGACGATAGTTTCTTGTTTACAAAAGCATTAAGCCTTGAGAACAAATTTTTTATCTGTTTTACTAAAAAAAGTGTTTACAACGATTTTATTGTAATTTTTTCACTTTTTTTAGGATCTTCTGTGTTTTGCTGGGCAGTGTCCCAGGGTACGGGGATTTAGAGGGATATCGAGAGAGACGGGATGGACAGAGGCTAAACTTCGGGTCCATTCCGAAGACTTCCTACTGGTGGAAGTTTGACCAAAAAGAAACCCTTCCATGGTTACGTCCGCTGTGCCATAGCGATTGAGGCGCGAGTCTCTGACACCCAATCCGTGATGAACTCGTGTCCATGGATGAATGATACCAGGGTTACCAAATCCGTCGGGTTCTTCTGTGGGGGGTTGGACGGGGGACGACCATCGCTGGGCATTACTTAGCTCTTGTAAAGTTCGGGAACGGTTGTGTTACAGGAGGGGCCCGTCTTCTGGACGACCCGTCCCCGTGGTGAGGCTCGAATGGAGGTATCTTTACCGAAACTCTGAGATACCAGGCGAACTCTCAGATCTCAGATCCGGCACAGCTGATCAAGCTGGTAAGGGTTGTGGCTTGGGTACCTGGTCCTAGGGTGAACCAGGCTTCAATCCTTAAAAACCTCGGTAGACAGAATACCAGAGTGGATACATCCGCTTGGAGGGTGTATTCGGGAGGCGAGAGGGGAACGGACCAAGCTGCGGCTGTGGGCTGGACTCTCGCGCTTGGAGTACCAGAGAGCGACATTGAAGCTCTCCAAGCCCGGCAGTTGAAACTGTGTTTTGGAATGGGCCAAATCACTCTAAGAGTGACGAGGCAAGGTACTGACACAGCTGCTGGGCAGGGTACCCAGGGGTGGATGCGACTGAGAAGACTGTGAATCAGCCTTAAAATGGCTGCTTCCGGGATTCATTGTACGCAGATTAATTTGCGCCAAGGGCGTGTCTGATCTATAAAGGTCTAGACCGAGCATGGGATGAATATCATACCGCTCGCGATTCTTACAAGAAAGATGTGTCAGCTGGAGGTGTCAGCTGGAGAAGTTTTTGCAAGGGAATCGAGAGGGTACCAGAAGCATCAAGACTTCATAAAGTACTATCTCGAGACCCAATGGCAAAATTAACTACAATTAAATTGCCTAATGGGCACTATGCCCAGGATAAAAAAGGAGTGTCTAAAGCACATGATGGAGGTAAACTTCCCAGACTTTAGAGAAGGTTCGGAGAACAGCCATGGCGTAGGACCAGGTAGGGACCG